GGCAAGTTGGCCATAATTTATGTTGATGAAATTGTGTGATTGCATGGAATCCCAAACTCTATTGTTTTAGATCGAGATGGTAGATTTACATCCAGACTATGGAGAAAGTTGAAGATGCTTTGGGTACTCAACTGACATTTAGTGCAGCTTTTCATCCCCAAACGGATGGTCAATTGAAGAGAATGATCCAAATATTGACTTTGTTTTGACTTTGTGTTCTTGATTTTGGTGAAGATTGGAAAATACACATATATATCTCTGATAGAGTTTGCCTACAATAACAATTTCCAGAAAAGTATTGGTATGGCTCCTTAAGAAGGCCTTTATGAAAGAAAACGCAGAACACCTCTTTATTGGGCAGAAATTGGTGGAAGAAAATTAATTGGCATTGATTTAGTTGATGAAACAACTGAGAAGATCTGGCTAATTCGTGACAAACTGAGAGGAGCCTAAGATAGACAAAAAATATTATAATGCTAAGCAACGATCAATGAAATTTGAAGAGGGAAACTTTTTTTCTAAATGTTAGTTTGATGAAGGGAGTTAAGCGGTTTGGAAAGTCTAGGAAGTTGAGTGCACTGTATGCTATCTCCTATGAAATCATAGAAAAGATTGGGAAAGCAGCATATATGCTTGCACTTCTAGCACATATGTACGGGGCACATAATGTGTTTCATATGTCCTTGCTATGGAAGTATATTGCTGATGAGGTTAGCAAGGTTGTTACAAACCCTATAGATATTCAACCTGACCTGACATTTGTGGATGAGCTCGAATGAATTATAGATTATGATGTGAAGCAACTCAGGAGTAGAGAGATTCCTATTTCTCTTGTGTTATGGAAGCACGTGATTAAAAAGATGTCACATGGGAGAAGGAATAAAAAATGAGAGAAATAAATCCTCACTTGTTTAATTGAGGGATGCAGTACATTCTTTAATTTAAATTTTGAGGACGAAATTTTTAGAAAAGAAGATTGTAATAATACTATATTAAATTATTAATTAAATTAAATTAATATTTTTTTAATACTAATTCACAACACCTGCATAGCAAGTGTTGTTCGAATGAGCAGCTCGCCGCCCATGGGGAGTTAAGAATGAGGATTTTTCCTCACCTCTACTCATTTGAACCCAACGACAGAGATAGAAGAAGCGAGAGAAAGCGCGAGAGAGATAGAAGAAGCGAGAGAGATAGATGGAGCGTGAGAGACCAAGTGAGTGAGGTAGAGGAAGAAGAAGAAAAGGAGAAGGAAGAAGAAGCTAAAGAAAAAGAAGAAGAATAAAGGAAGGAGGAAGAGTAGATGTGTTGCTTACCTGCATACTTTTTATGATTATGAGAGGGTTTCTGATCATGAGAGGGCTCGTGCGTATTGTAGGACACTCGATTGAGCTTTCAAAAGCTCTAGAAGCCATAAATGACACGCAAGAGCCATTCTTGCAAAAAAGAGGCGCTCCATCAAGCTTCCTTGACTATTTTCATCAGTTGCGAGGGAGAAGTATAAGTGTAGAGTTGTCCTACATGCTTCCTTGACTATTTTCATCAGCTGCGAGGGAGAAGTATAAGTGTAGAGTTGTCCTACATACGAACGACGGCCTCCCTCCTGTGTTGTAATACGAATGACTGCCTCCCTCCTGTGTTGTACTCGAGCAAACTAAGAAGAGAGCACTTGTGTGCCCTACCCGAGTGAAAGGAAGAGGAAGAGGGCTCGAGAGGTTGAGAAAAAATTGCGTACGTTAAGGAGGGTATTCAGAGGGTATTGGGGGGTATATCCGCTTTATACCCCATGCGTTATACCCCATGTAACATCCCTGTAACCTACTTGTAACCTAATTGTACCTTCTAGTAAGTTCCGCGCTTCTGTATTCATATATTTGTAGGTTAAATGTAAGTTATAGGTAGGTTACATGGGTATAACGTGGATATAACCCCCCAATACCCTCTAAATAACCTCCCTACTTAGCACTGCGTACGTCTTACGTACGCAAATTTTTCTCCAAGCGGTTGGTTTGAAGCTCGACGGATTGCCAAAGAAGGAAATAGGGTTTAAGGCAAGAATTTTTTTCGTAAAACTTGATTTCAATAATAAATTATTGTTTTTCTTATCAAGCCAGGTGAAAAGAAAATTAAGAATCCTATATTTAAAAATTTGTTTATAATTAAGTTGCTATTAAGTTAGGTATGCAAAAAAGAATATTTTAGAAGCTTTAATATAAAAATTAGATTGGATATTCCTACGTATATGTGTATATATGTTTAAATAATATATATATATATATATATATTGCAAATTAAATAAATTAATTAAGAAACTAATAAGAGAAAATTTAGAATTAATAAGAAAGAAGATAAGCCTAAACATAAGCTAATTAAGTCTATTACGTTTTTATAGGATCAGAACAAGGACTAAGTTGTTCTGAGAAAAATTATAGCAAGCGACTCTCCAAAGGTGGGTAAATATATTTATTTTACAATAATTTTATTTATTTACTATTTCTAGCTTTTATTTTAAATGCAAAAGTATGTGTTTTCTTTTAAATATTAAATACAAGATGAAAACGAGTAAAGTATGATATGCAAGCATATGAGAGTCACCCATGGATGATACTAACAGAGAAATACAACGTACGTGCGCACAAAAATAGAAATGAAAATGGAAAATATTGACCACTTTTATGGTGGGTTGTAAGAAGTTAAACATATTTTTTTATAAAGTGTATGTTTAAAAGATGACTCTTCATTAAACATAAAAGAACGAAAAAAAATGATATTGGTTTCGTTACTGCTCCCTTTTATTGCACGGTCTATTAATGTTATTGCATGATTATAAAATATTTTAAAATAAAAATTATTGTAATTTAGTTATATTTGTCCACTGAGTAGTTTTAACTCAAATCTTAATTGTTAACATTTTAATTGTTAACTTGAGCTACATATTAGATGAACTCTAGGGAGTATGTGTACAGGCGTCGTAGAGCGCAGACTGATAGGTATTATGTGCTAGCTTTTACTTTATATCAGTTGAAAATAATTAAAAATCTATATGAACTAAATATAGCTTTAATGTTTATAAATAAAATAACTCTTTTGTGCTTTGGATTTTAATTTTATTAAGAAATGAAATTGTTAGATGTTTTTTCTCATTCCAACTGTCAGTTCCCCCCTCAATAATTCCAATCTCCCAGGCTATCTGGTGAACAAGACAACCCACCAATAATCTTCTCTACTCTCAATAGCCAATTCTCAGCATCCACTAGACTTTATCCTCTAAAAAATAGAGAAGGCCTCATATCCTGAAACAACTGAAATATTTGTCCATCTGACCTCCTCCGCTAGAAGTAGCATGAGGCTGAAACTTCCAAATCATCTGAGTGACTACAATCAACATCTTAGCAAAAGCATCTGTGCTCACAGAGATATTTGGAGGTGTATCATTCTCAGCGTTATTCTGACTAACTTCCTCTAGATTATCCATATTTCTGAAATAACATAACAAATAATACAATTAGACACAATTAACCCTCCATTTATATTATCTATCAATTAATTAAATCAACCTAATAACTCTTTTTTATCAGAATTGAAACCAATATATCTCCGATACCAATTTTTCACGATACGGTCTGATAGATTAGCATTAACAAAGTTAGAAATTGAGGTCGGACGGTATTTTTATTTCATTCACTTTCTACAAATTTTATAACTTCTAATTTAGAAAAGAGTCATTAAAAATCACAAAATATATTACAAAAATCAAATCATTTAAAATTAACACTATTGTGTACAAGTAAAACATCTCAAACCAACACACAACAATATCACTTATTAGAATTAAACAGTACAATAATTACTATCACAATGCACAACATAATATCCATCAGCAGTAATACTCTTATAAACTAAATCTCTTATATTAGACATATTAATCTACATTTTTTCCCAAAAAATATTTAAATTCAGTAGTAATTTTTAACACTTAAGGAGCAATTACAATCTTATCATGCATAAAATTAATATGCAAACATTACGCATGAAAGTCCCAAAGATATGCAATTTATTGATAAATCAAACTATAAGCTTTTATTTTAAATTTAATCTTTTACGTTTCAACTTAAGCATTTACTTTTTAATTTCTTTAAGAAGTCATATCAGGATTAACATCATGCAAGAAGATATCCTTAAATTATACCCGTTGATACTCTGAAAATTTTGCACCTAAAGGTACACCTTTATCATTTCTATTTATTTGTTCGTGTAGAGGTAAATCGCATCCCCTACTAGTACCAAATGGGGGTACTTCTGTATGACTTAAGTTTTTACATTTTCATTCATTTAATTACCTCTTTTTAAAATCATTGAATAATCATTTTCCCTTTTTATCATGCCATTTCATTTCAATGATTCATTTAACTTACAATATGCACATAATTATAAAAAAAAAAGTATCTGAAGCAATAATGTAAGTTTTTATTTAATAAAAAATTAACTTAAGACATATAAAAAAATACTTTCTCACCTTAACTGATATGACAAACTCTCCTTAATTTTAAATCCTTTGAAGCAGATGTTCTTCAATCCCTGGTTCAATAGAACCTAACATATGGGGTACACAATATCTTTTTTTATAAAATAAAAGAAGAGCTACTAGATTGCATGATAAATCCGAAACAGGGTCCCCTAAACAATGAATTTCAGAATGAAGCAGTAGAAATTTCACTCATAACACAAAGCATCATTAAAAGGCTAATCTTAATTTAACAACTAAAAAGTTCCCCTCGAAAGATTATGAAGCAAACTAAAATCAAAACAAAAGGCTCAAAACACTTATTCAAAATTTTAATATATTTTTATTACTGAACTCTTTAAACTAGCAGATCTGTAACAGTTATGTCAATACAAAGAAGAATGCTACAGAATAACAAAAATTCACTCAGGATAAGCCACATGCCCAGCTAGCAAGTGGATATAATTTAAAAACACCAAAATACTTGTTATGTGTAAGCTCAGAAGTACCTGTTCTGATGAGCTAATTGTAAAGTAGTTTGGATTCAGGAGGTTGGTTAATTCAAGTGGGAGGTTGCCATGTTCCTGGTTTGAATGATAATCCAGAACCAGTTGGCTCAGAGAACCTGAAATAAGCATTAGGTAAAAAAAACAGATAAGTAAAAAAGAAAAAAAAAAATCTGTGTTAGCAATTCATGATATAGTATTGATCACTTGCTTGGAGAATGTTCAAGCTAAACACTAGCATTTGCAAGGTTAGAATATTCAAAGAAACAAAAAGCACATTGTCCTTTTGAGTTTTCATGGAGTAAGTAGGCATTTGTGATGCAAGCTTCCATTTTTGTTTTGAAAAACCAAAATTATTTATTTATTTACATAAATCAAAGCTAAAATGATAGACTAAATATTTAGAAAAAAAGAGGGTACAGAATTAGTAGAATAAAAATTGAGTATGTGAGATATAGTTTAAGTATGTGAAACTAATATTTTCCAATTAATATTATTAGAAGATAAAGTAAAACAGTGGGATAAGTTCTACTAGTATAGTTCTATCATATAGAAAAAATATGGATATATGTGCAAATATAACTTTTAAAGTTAAGACTGAATCATGTGAAAGTTATCATATAGACTCATAGAAAAATTTTATATAACTAAAATTAGAACACAGTGATGTTGTATGGATTTGAGTAAAAATACTGTTTCCACATAAGTTAAGCGTGACATGAATGAAAACATTAAAATGATGCGTACTGCATTTAGGAAATATAAATTAAAGAATAATTATAGAAGAATATTTTTTTAATTGACATCCGCTAAAGATTATATAGCTAAAAAATGGCTTTGTGCATATACAATAAAGATAGAAAATGAACCAATTAAATGAGTACGAAAGATTAATATCTAGCATATTATGAAAGAGAGAGGTATGTTAAAAGTAACATGGATAGAAATTATTAAAAATGATCTGTAAGAAAAAAAAGATTCAATGCTTCGACTATAGCAAGCATCAAGTATGAATGAGCAAAATACGACGATTCAAAATGTCAACCCCAAATAGTTCAAATAGAATTCATGAACAAATAATGAACATTAGCAAAGGAAGCTAGTATAACCATTAAAGAATTATGTGTGTTACACTTCAATAAAATTATAGTAAAAAGTCGGTCATTTTTTTAATAATTTTACAGAAAAGATGTCTTGAGTTGAAGTTCAAAAATTTTTAAAGCATTTAGTACCAAATTATTCAAACCATCAGCCTTCAATACAACACAACTAATCTAGCTAATCCGACATCTCATGTTTGGATACAGAATTAGATAGCAAAGAAAGCAACAGAGTAAAAGGTAAAACTTCTGGTTGGTCAACCATATATTGGGTTTTCTATATTTCATATGTAAAAGTTTCCTTGTACTGTTATTTTTTATTCATTCCTATTAAGAGTTGCATGAGATTTAAACTTATTCTTTCGCAATCCTTTTGAATAGCTTATATTCATGAAATCTTAAGTCAGCCCATTCTTCTTAATCCCATAATATTAATTTTATTTAATTATTTGGATATGACCAAATCAACTAAATCTATCTTCAATTAACTTATAAAAATGTTATGACAATGAATCCTCTAACATACATATTCCTTAATTAATCCTTCCAAGTCATATCATACATTTATCTTAACGTTATTATTTCTACCATGTTCAACTTAAAAAACAGCAATTTGTCACTGCCACATACTAATATCCAAATCATATAATTAGCCGAATAAATTATAACATGTAGTCTAAACCCTAGAAATTATATGCTCTTTTATATCATTGTTCTTGCTTATAATAGATCCAAGATACATAAACCTATCGCACGTAGGCATCATCTTATATTCTAACAATATCAATTAATATTTTTTACTATTACACCACTACTAAGGGAATTCAAATGCGTAGTGACTCAAATTGGCTCCTTTCTATCCTGAAACTAGCACCAAGTAACCTGTCATGACAAATGATAATACAATGTCCTTACGCTTATCATCAAAAAAAATTTTATCTTTGTGAGGATAATCATTAAACAGGGTCCTTATCTCACCACTCTCCTTTTAAATCGCAACCAACTGTAACGCAAAAGTAACAACCATTCAACATCCTTCATGTGTTATCTCAATTGGGGACTCACATCACTTTCATTATAGGGCTTTTTCATACATGTGCCAGTGTGCACCAAATGGTTTTGTCTTGTCTCCCTCAGTCTGAGTCCATCATATCTTCATTTCTATCTTAGCTATAGATATATTACATTTTAGTTCTATGTAGTTAAAAAAACATCTTCCTAAGTCATCCCTCTAGCATACTTTGGAATTTGCCTGCTAATTTAGAATTGTTTCCTCATGATAAGAGTACTAGTTATATTGAGATGGGAGATGGATTCTCTGCACTTTCCTTCGAGAAATGGTTTATCGCATGCATAGATTCATCCGACATAATTAAATGAGGATAACTTTGCTAATAATTTAAACTTTGACAACAATTCCATATTCACAAGGCTATTCCATACTCGAAGATAAAATAAAGAATATTGTTACTAAAAGATAGAATTTTCAGCAAACAAGTTCTTACAAAGGAGTTATTGGTTAAGAGGACATAAAGGCACATAATTCTAGGTATACATGGCCAATCAGGGTCAGCTTTGGGGCAGACTTCATACTGCTTTTCTTTCTAGACTGCCACCACACCTCCAGCTATTTGGCTATTGCTTTCTTTGTTGTTACCTAAAAATTTTTATGGTAGAAAACTGTTCTTTACAAACAGATCTGTTAAAAAGTGTTACCTATGAGAAAACAGATGTTTAAATTTTTCAAAATAGAAAGTTTTTATATACACTGCTGCATTCAAATAAGTTGCTTTCCCAACAACAGTATTACAACCATCTTCACAAAAAGTTGTCACTACCCTAAATAAATCATTAATCTTTAATACATGTACTTAAAAGAGCATAACATGTCTGAATTAATGTTAGACTAAAATGATTGCCAAATGAAGGAATTTCATTTCACACTACGCTTTTGAGACTTTCTGAAGACGAGCATAAAAACAATGCACATATATAGATTTGACACATCTTATTATCCATATGCGTCAGAGGAATCTGAGAGCAATGAAAAAAATAGCCACAAAATTTCTTTCAAAGCCGAAAGCGTAAAAACATTAGTCACCTCTCTTCACTTAATTCATCATCAGCTGTAACAGATACTTTCTCACTTCCTGCACAAATTAAAAATAAAAAAACAAAATCTCTGTAACAAAATTGTAGTAGAATAACCTTAAAGTCAATCTCCATGAATGGTACAATGCTAGCTCTCAGGATATTAGAAAAATTAGGAAAATAATTCAATTATTCCTAGCAATTTGAGGCAGTGAAGTTGTTCTGAAATGCTAGAAAATTTAGTCTACAAACCTAGATATATTAACCATTACAATGGATTTACCTAACCAAGACCACATAGCTTTTGGAAGATGAAAGTACCTCTTCTTTGGATATCAGATGCGCCAGGGAATTGCTTGATGAAGCTCTCAAGATCTGGAGAAGTACCTTTGCCTGAAGATTAACAATCATCATTAACTTCTAAATTTAGCTTTTTGAGTTTGAATATCAGGGGGAAAAAAAAAACTTGATGTGGAATAGCATAAACAGAGTTTGCAATTGATACAAACAGAAACAAAATTGTAACTCAAGGGAGTTTAAAACTAAAACGTAATCCGCTCTTCTATTTCATAATGAAGTCATAAAGGAATGTTACGCTTCTAACCACAAAATTGGATAAATAGTAAATGCGCTCTAACATGACTTACCTATAGTCCTGCTTGGTAGGTGAGCAGCATTTGCTAACCTCTTCTCTTCCTCTTCTTTCTTCAACACTTCAGCATGGAACAACGAAATGTAAATAAATGTCTACCAATACAAACCAACAATATAGAGAAAAACGTTAATTAGATTTAGTGACAGCTAATATTTAATTTGAAGCTCTCTTTCTGCACGAGTTAGCCTCAAAACATCAGCATGCGGAAATCAGCACATTAATTACAAGCTTCTTTCAGTCTTTAAATGATTTGAAACCTTCTTCCATTTACGATAATAACAAAAAGAAATACTACAGAAATAAATGATATTATACAGCTTCCATAAATCAGCAACAAAAAAGAAAAATTATTAAAATAATCACTCACATGCAACATTCTGTTTAACTCGCTCGCGCTTAGCCTCTAGCTCGGCCATTTCCTGAGAGCAGATGATTTAGAAGATTAGACCAATCTAGTGAACAGGAACACATGCATTTTATTTAAAGATAATTTGAAACATCTATAGGTTTCACATATGTTCTATTTTAATTTCACAAGCAATCCAGAATAAGATCCACTAATCAAAATGGTACGTAATAGAAGATTTTTTTTCACCTAATTGCTTCCGACACTAGAAATTAATTAAGAGCTTTGACGCACGCCTACGAGTTTCAATGGTCAATCAATCGTCATGGATTATAGATCAGGAAAGCTAGTTGTGAAATCTCCTTAGCCTTAAAGCAGTCCATTATCAAAAACACAGAAACGAGTAAATGAAAGAATAAATCAAAAGTAAAATTACAGGATTTAAATTACAAACATAAAAGGCCAAATACTCCATACCTCAAAGAAACAGATATTCTTATCAAGGATTAAAAAAAAGAATTCAAGAATTGAGGCATTTTTACGGGTGTGCACTGTTTGGATAAATCCAAAAGACTGATCCGAACCAAAGCGATTATCGATTTGGTTCGGTTTTTGAAATGACTGTTTGGTATTTGGTTTTAAAATCTAGATAATTTAGTTTATTGGTTATGGTTCCGTTTTTTTTTATTAATTGATTGAACCGAAAAACCAAGTTATAAGGGGCGAAGGCGCAGTTCAATACTTTGGTAGAAGACTAAAGTGTATCTTTTGCTTTTACTTAGGGAGAGTTAGGGTTTGTTGTCCATTTCTATTCTTCGAAGCCCTGACTTGCGTTGTCGCGTAGCGCCTCGCCCCCAATCAGTGTGTTTCGTGCTCTGTGACCTCTATCGCTGGCTACCTGGCTCGCCTCGATTAAGAGTTTCGTTTTCTCTTTAGTGTAAGGGTGAAGCTAAGGCCCATGCAGTCATGCAAAGGTGTCGATACTCGATGGTGAAAATGAGAAAGTGGAGAAGGCCTGAAGAGTCTTGGTTCTCTTGGTCTATTTTCAAAGGTCTGCTTTTCCCTTCTAGTTGTTCCCTAATTTCCTTTACTACTACTTCTACAATGAAGGTATGCACTTCTTAATCCTAACTGAGCAGTAGGGTGAATTGTTGAAGAAACTTGTGGGTTCATTTTGATATGCTCCCTAGTTAGATGGTGGATTTATATATACTATTCAGTCTTATTGTTTTATTTTAAGGGATCAAGTTAGAACGATATGCATGCTTGAAGTTAAAAACGGGTATAAAGAAGGCATGTCAAAGTGTTTTGAGAAAAAAATTATCCCGTTTTTATATGGTGGAAAGCATATTTTGTTTTTATCCCGTTTTTATGTGATCTATGAAAAGCGTTTTGAGAACGGATTCTAAGCATAATTCTTCTAACTTTTGAGTCTTTGTCTCTCATGCAATATAGTTTAGTTGCAGATTTTGATATGTCTTAGGTTTTCAAAGTATGCAGATTGTAAGTTTGATTTGGTGTTACGTTGAATTTGGTTTCTCATCTTCCCTTTCATTGGTATGCCGTTATTGCAAATTTTGATTTCTCATGAATATTCTCTAAAATTTTAAAATATGTATTTGATATACTTTGATTTGGTTTCTCATAAATATTCTCATTATTTAGTATGATATAGCCCCCGGCTCTTCTTGTTGTTGTTGTTGTTGAATTGAATGGAGAATTTCTGAGAGGAATTAGAAAGTAGAATAGCATTAGGATAGTCAAATTGTAATTTATCTGTGACAGTTCAACTACGATTTTTGTTGTTAAGGGACAAAGTATATTTTGTTTAGCTATTATTCTATTTGTGGATTTCTATAAGATGGAAAACTTTGGAGAATTTTAATAGTCTAGAGTGTTTAGTAGACTTAAAGACCAAGTAATTGGTTGCGTAGAAGTTAAGGTTGTGTGCAACCAAATTTAATCTTTTTGACATAATTACATAAAGGTAGTTGTGAAATTTTGAAGTGATAGATTATTGATGTTTTATGGAATCTGATTTTCGTTTGATTCATTCCCTCCTGCTATGGAGAGAAGGTATGAATTAAGAAATTTACAAGTCATGAATCCATTAGTAGACTGCATAAATTTGGTATGATAATTGATTGAAGTATGCAATCATTGACTTAAACAATCATTTTGTGTCCCATTTTTTCAAGTAAAGTGCTGAGATTTGTATCTTATTTTGAGCGGACTATTTTGGTCGTTCTTTCTAATGAGGGTTGAAGTTTCAATTTATATAAAAGATACTAGACCATGAGGCATTAAGTTTTGATTTATATAAATGGTCGTTTTTTCTAATAAATTTCATGTAATTTTTAAGAGATGGTTGGATGGGAAATAATCAATATGCATGAATTTCATGTGATTTTGTGTGGAAAATATGTGAAGTTCTCTACATCTTTTCTCTTGAAATTCTTACATAAATCTTGGTGGAAAATTCAGTAACTTCGCGGGTTCTAATTTTGAAAAAAAAAAATTTGAAGTTCCATGTTTAAGTTTATGTTGTTTGGCATGGGTTTCTCTTTTCTTTTTCTATGTTATGGGCATAATAAAGCGGATCTTACATTAATTACACTTTTGCTAAAGCTCTACATGAATGTGAAGCTTACATTAAAAATATGTGTAGTTTCTAGATTTCTGCATTTACAACCTTATAATCTCTTTTTTTTTTATAATTCGGTTAGATGTCGCATTGTGGAGAGAGTTCAAATGATTTAGATTTTTCTCAACAACCAGTGCCTATTGACTCTACCCAACAAGTTAATTTTGTTGGGATTTGAATACATCCAATAATTGATGAGAAGAAAAAAAGAAAGTCCATAAGGCCAAAATCTGATGTTTGGGATCATTTCACCAAGTTCATAACTGAGGGAAAATGAGCAAGTGTAGTTATTGTGACAAGACATATCAAAGTGATCCGAAAATTAACGGTACAACAAATTTACAAACCCAACTTTCTATTTTCCAAAAAAATCCACATAATCTTCAATCAACTCGGGCTCAATTAGTATTGCAACCAAATGCTAAAGAAGATGAGACCGATAGAGGTCCTAAGACATGGAGATTTGAGCAATATAATATTAAAAAAGCTTTAACATTTATGGTAATTGTAGATGATTTGCCCTTTAAACATGTTGAAGAATATGGGTTCAAATACTTCATGTCAAAATGTTGTCTGATGTTTCATATTCCTTCTCGATAGACACTTACTCGTGATTGTTTTCAATTCTACTTAACTGAGAGAGAAACTTTGAAATAAATTGTTCAGAAATCATGTAAAAGAGTTTATTGAACAACTAACACGTGTACTTCCATTCAAAGAATCAAATATATGCATCTTACTGTGCATTACATTGACAAAGATTGGAAATTGAGCAAAAGAGTAATTAACTTTTGCCCAATTTATAGTCATAAAGGAGAACTTCTTGGACAAGAAGTTGAAAAATGTTTAGTTGATTGAGGATTGATGCAGTTTTTACAGTTACAGTTGATAACGCAAGCTCTAACAATGGCATCACCACTCATTTGCAAATAAAATGGGTAAAAGAGGTGGGAGCATCCTTGATTTTAAGTTCTTACATATGAGATGCATTGCTCATATCATAAATTTAATTGTTCGGGATGGGATCAAGGAAGTTGGTTATTTTGTAGTTTGTATAAGAGCTGTTGTTAGGTTTACAAGACAATCTCTTGCTCGTCTTCAAAAGTTTAAAGAGTGCATTGAAGTAGAAAAGTTTGAAAGTAAGAGTTTGTTATGCTTAGATGTTCCTACAAGATGGAATTCAAAATATTTGATGTTGAATTTAGCACTTACTTTTAAGAGAGCCTTCGAACGTTGGGAGGTGATTGACCCTCAATTTAAAGCTGAACTTGAGAGAGATCAGAAAGGGAGTCATGGACTAAAATGAGTTCCACGGGATATTGATTGGGAGAACACAAGAAGACTAGTATGTTTCTTAGAGAAGTTCTATGAGCATACTTTACGTATATCCAACTTATTGTATGTCACATCAAACATACTTTTTCATGAAATTGTTGAAGTTTTGTGCATGCTTTAGAAATGAGAAATGGATAGAGACCTTGAAATTCAAAACATGGCTAAGAAAATAAGAGAAATTTTTGATAAATATTGGGGTTCTATTGATAAGATGAATTTGATTATATATATATTGTGGTTATTCTTGATCCTCGGTTTAATTTAAGATACATTGAGTTTGCAATCATAGAAATGTATGAAGGCCTCGAGGGAATTTGCATTAGCACAATCAATATGGTCAACTTGTTATGATATGTTTTATGACTATAAGATGAAGGCAAATGATCAAAATAGAGATGAGAACCATAATGAGATAAAACAAAGTTTAGCAGTTGAACCTATTGATTTAAAAGATAGAGGGAAAAAATACATGATGATTGAAATGTTTAGACGATGTAATTGTGAGAGAGCAGACCTTGATAGCAAAACAGATTTTAAAAAATATTTAGTTGAAGATTATGAAACTATGCAAGAGAAGTTTGATATTGGCATGGTAGAAGGTTAATGCATCGTAATTTCCAATCCTCTCTCAAAGGGCTTGAGATGACCTAGCAGTTCCAGTATCTACAGTGGCATTTGAATCAACATTTAGCACAAGTGGTCGTGTTCTTGATGCTTCAGGAGTTCATTATCTCCCAAGATTTTGCAAGCTCTAGCTTGCACTCAAGATTGAGTAAGAGCAAAATGGACAAGTGAGCCTGTCAATGTTGAAGAGAATATTCATGATGTGGATAAATTTGATTAAGGTAAAATGTTTATTTAGGTTATTCCCTTATCTTTTTTTTTATTTGGAAATGAATATTAACTCTACTTCTTTATTATCTATTACAGATTTATCGTAGATTGCAAAAGATTCAATACTTTGATAAGGTATTTATTGTTTGGGAGGCAAGAGGATTTTGATGGACTATTTTGTCCACTGTTCTTTGGTGTTCTTTTTGCCATGTTTGTAGAATTATCTGTTGATGCATTCGATTCATTGTTGTTTAAAAAAT